GGTATATAGGAAAACTGAGAAACCCCCCCATCTCAAAACCCCCTCTGCTCCCCGCCATAAACCACCACTATTAAGGTTTAAATTCTCTCGGGGCCCCTTAAAACACCCCAATAAAAAACCAAAAACACAGCAAAAATCTTTGGGGTACTAAATGACATTTTTTATTCTTTCCCAAGTATAGATATGTTTTTTTATTTATTAATATTTTTTTTTTTAAATAATTTGTATAAAAAAATTAGATGAATTGGTGGAAATAGTTTTTTAAAAAACTTGGATTAGACAATTTAAACTCGTAATTGAAAAATCGGGGCCCCTTTTTTCCAAAAAACCTTCCGGGAGGACACTTTTAAACAAAATTTTACAAAGGGAATTTTTAAAAATAAGGGGTTCTTTTTTCCCGGGAAAAAATTTTAAAAAAAAATTTTTTCCTGAAATACTTAAACAAAACAATTTGGAAAATTTTCCCATCAGCAAAAAATTAAAATTACTTTTACCCTTTAAAGCCCCCAACCCCAAAAGTATTAAAACAAAAAAAAAAACCCCAAATGAAAAATTTTAAAAAAGAAAAGTACAAAAAAATATTAAAATATGGAAAAACAAACCCAAACCCAAACACCCCGTTTTTCCCCCCAAAAAAACTCCCCAACCCAAACCAATTTTTCCTTAATACCAATTCCAAGAAACGAAACCCCCAAAAGAAAAACCCCAAAGCCAAAGAAAACCCTAAAAAATAACTATCAAAATTTTGAGCCAAAGGAAGACCCCCCAAAAACCAAAACCCAACTCCCGCCCACCGAAAAACGTAACCCAAAAAAACCCGGGTAAACCCCCCTCCCCTTTTTTCCTACAACAATTCCGTTTTTATTTTTAAACCCGCCAAACCCTTAAAAAACACCCCAACCCAACAAGAAAAAAAAACCGGAAAAAAAAAAAAAAAAAAAATCAAAAAAAAACCCCAAGTTTGCCAAAATTTACAACCCCCACAACCACCCCAACCCCACCACCCACAACACCCAAACAATAACAACAAAACATTTTTCCAAAACCCCCTCCCCTCTCTTCCCGTTTCCCTCCTTCTCTCTTCCCCCCCTTCCTTAAAACAGGGCCCCAATTTAAAAAAAAAACCAAACACAACAAAACCCAACACCAAACACAATGGGAAAAAAATCCTCATTTTTAAAAAAAGTTATAAACTCACAATTCACCAAATAATCATCTAAAACCCAATTTTAATCACCCCTAACCTAACTATTTTTTACAACTATAGTACCAACCACACCCCCCCCCCCCCCCCACACACAAAACACACACACACACACCACCCACACACACACACACACACACACAAAAACCCCAACCCACATTTTAAAAAAGTGGAGGAAAAATCCAAAATGTTTTAAAAGAAAATTATTTTTTAAACTCACTTTTCAAATTACCTATACCCATTTTAAAACCCCCCCCCCTCCCTCCCCCCCGCCCCTCCTTTTTTCCCTTTTAACACACCCCACACACACACACACCACCACACAAACACCACCCAATTTACCACCCCCCAACCACAAAAAACAAAAAACCCCACACACACACACACACACCCCAAAGAATTTTTTTCCCCGGGGACCCCACATTTTAAACCCCTTAAAACGGTCCAAACAGATCCAACTTTTCAAATCCTATGCTCCAAAAGTAATCTAAAAATTTTTTTCAAAAAAACAAAAAAAAATGTAAAAATAAAATTTTTTTTTTTCCCACTTTTTCAAATGAAAAAACAAGAAAGAAGATCTACATTTTTTTAAAATATTTTCACTTTAATTTTTAAAGGGTTTTAACATTAATAACCACCCTGAAGTAAAGATAAGAGTCCTCCACCACCATTTAACGGGCTCTCTGCATGCATTTCTTTGGGCATGATATTTTTTTTTTTTGGGCCTTCCCTTCTTTTTGTTTTCCACTTTTTAAAACAGGGGTGCCCCCTTTTGCCTGGAACAGGACTAAAAGACTCAGTATGGGGAAAAAATTTACTGAAAATTGAAAAGGAAATTAAAAGAACAAAGGGATAATAAAAAAAAGGGGCACAGTTGTAACAAATTAAAGGACATAATAAACCCAAAATACTATACTTTGGGTTTTTTAACGGGACATCCCTGTAAAACATATGCAAAAAAACTGAGTGAAAGGGGGGGTGTTGGGAGATAAATGTGAGATACATTACTTAAATATACACAGATTTTTAAAACTTTGGATTAAAATTTTTTACAGAAAAAAACCAAGATTTTTTTTTTTAACAAGTGGGCCAAATTTTCGCACCGGGCAAGGTGCCCCAAAAAAGAAAAAAAAAAATTTTTCATCATTAAAAACATTCACCTAGATATAACAGCTTTTTTGGGCTGATTTACCTAAAGGAAATTCTTTAGAAAAAAACAGTTTAGAGCATGCAGCCCATAGCCCTAAACCCATCCCATCCAAAAATTTCATGAAACCCTTTTAAAGCAGGCACCCTTTAGCCCCTTTTGCACAAGGAAGGTATTTAGAGCAAAAGGGCCAAAAATTTAACAAACCTGGGCCCAAAAACATCCCACATCGAAATCTTCAAATTACAAATTTTAGGGAACAGCACAATCTGCACAACCCAAGCCCCCAAAAGCCTAAAACTGGAAGATAAATCTTGCCCAACTGCTAAACCACTACAACAAAATTTAAAGGGAGGATTTGAAAGAAAAACCAAAACACAAAAGGTCTTGCTCCGGTTTTTTTAGCCCATTCAAACCGACTTCTCCAGGTTTTAAATTTTTTAAACTTCCATAGCCCAAAACCCGTTTTTTAGTCCTGTTAAAATAAGGGGGCGAAAACCACCCCTTTAAAAATCATCGGGTTCACATATTTTACCTTTGGGGAAAAAAAAAATTAAAACGCCCCAACCATCCCCCTCAAAGCAGAAAAACCTAAAACAAAAAATAAAAGTTTTTTTTTTTTTACAGGGAGTAATACAGGAAAAGGGGGTTATATCCCCCTTTACCCCTGGCACAGAAAAGGTCTGGGGTTTTTTTTTAAAAACACATTATTATTACCATAAAAACTTAGGTTAAAGAAATATATAAAAACCCAATTTTATATCCTAAAAAAAATAAAAATTTAAAACAAACCCCCTTTTCCTAAGCCCAGAACAAAACAAGACTATAAATTTTCACAATTCACGGGGACTATCCTTTAAAAAAAAATCCCCCCTAAACCCAGTATAAACACTACCAAAAATTTTTAAACAAATCTCTCCCAGATGCTCGTCCGGGGTTTTAAAAATATACTGGAAATATAAACACATATGCAGATAATGTGATCCTTTATTGACTACGTTTCGCCCACACAGGGGGCTTTTTTCAATCACAAACAATCTACCGGGGTTTGGAAGGGACGCATTTATTTATAGTCAGTTAAAGAAGCTGAGGCCCGGGTGGAGAAGCTGAAATCTGATATGTCCCGAGGGGGGTTATAGAGTCAAAAATTTTTGGGGTTAGTTTTGGAAAGGAGTTTGGGGATAAGTTGTGAGCAACCTTCTACAGTGTTCTTCCTTTCCCCTGTTTTCCCTTATGTAGGTCTGCCAAAAACCCTTACCCAAATCCCCTTTTTCCAACCCCCAAGATTTTAACTCTAACCCCACTGGGTTACATCTAAATTTGAAAGCATTCCCCCCCTTCCCTCAGCATTCTGAACCGACTATAAATACCGCATCCCTTCCACCCCAGGTAGATCTTTTTTGTGACTTGAAAAACCCCCACTGTGTGGGCAAAATGAGTCAAAAAAGGCACAATTAAAACTGGGATATTTTTTCATATTTCCATTGGGGGTCCGGATTTTATACCATTTTTTCCGTCTTTTTAAAACTACAAACAACCTTTTGGGGGGAACTTTTGTGTAAATAAAACATACAAACAAAAACTACTTCCTTGGGAAAAATTCAAAAAAAAACTTCCCAGCAATCACAAGGGGGTCAAACCCCGCTTCACCAGCAAACTAGAGGGTGGGGGAAAACAATTTGGGGAAGAGAAAAGAGAGAGAGAGAGGGAGAGGGGAAAAGAGAGAAAGAGAGAGAGGGGAGAGAGGAGAGAGAGAGAGAGAGAAAGGAGAAAAGAGAAAGAGAAAGAGAGAAAGAGAAAGAGAGGGGAGAAAAGAAGAGAAAGAAAAGAGGAGAAAGGAGAGGGGAGGAAAAAAGAAAAGAAAAGAGAGAGAGAAAAGAGAGAAAAAGAAAAAAAGGGAAAAAGAGAAAAAGAGAGAAGAAAGGAGGGAGAGAAAAGAAAAGAGAAAAAGAAAGAGAAGAGAGAAAAGGAGAAAAAGAGGAAAGAGAGAGAAAAAAGAGAAGGGGAAAGGGGAAAAAAGAGAAGAGAAAAAAGAGAGAGAAGAAAAAAGAGAGGGGAGAAAAAAGAGAGAGAGAGAAAAGAGAGAGAGAAAAAGAGAGAGAGAGAAAAGAAAAAGAGGAGAGGAAAAAGAGAGAGAGAAAAAAGAGAGGGGAAAAAGAGAGAGAGGAAAAAGAGAGAAAAAAAAAAAAAAAAAAAAAAAAAAAAAGAGAGAGAGGAGAGAAAGAGAGAGAGAGAGGGAAAGAGAGAGAGAAAAAAGAGAGAAAGAGAGAGAAAGAAAAAGAGAGGGAGAAAGACAGAGAGAGAGAGAAAGACAGAGAGAGAGAGAAAGACAGAGAGAGAGAGAAAAACAGAGAGAGAGAGAAAGACAGAGAGAGAGAGAGAAAAGACAGAGAGAGAGAGAAAGACAGAGAGACAGACAGCCAGAGACAGAGAGACAGAGAGACAGACAGACAGAGACAAACAGAGACAGAGAGAGACAGAGACAGGCAGACAGACAGAAAATATAAGAAAGAAATAGCACTGCAGCAGGCCTACTGGCCCATGCTAGGCAAGTCCAAGATGCCTACAAAAAACATAAACACCATTTATTATTGTGGACTGTCAGTATATAAATGGATTAAATCCCATGAAAATACAAGATAAACATACCTTGACAGTCCACAACAACCCAAGTTATTATAAACTATTTAAGTGTTAGAACACAAATAGTTAATTCATGCACTAATAATACCAATCCATACAAATCAGCCAGAACTCTGCTGGTATCCACATAAATGATATAAAAAGATTTTGCAAAGCTGTTCAATAAATGTGATCATGGGGTGATTACACACAAAATGCAGGCCACAGGCATAACAGGAAAGGTAGGCAGATGGATTTTCAAGCTTCTAACAAACAGAACACAAAGAACAAAAAAGGCAAAATACCATGACTGGAGCAATACACAAATAACCCGCACATCTGAGAGGAGCTTACGACGACATTTCAGTCCGACTATTTGTCAATGCCTTTAATAATCTGGCCCCTTCCATTTAAAGCTGAATGAGAATCTAACTTTTTGCTTCCTTTCCTTGATGTTCATGTCCACAACTCGAATATGGGTGTTGCCTTTTCCGTGTATCAAGCCTATGCACAGTGGCATGTGCATTCACTACTTTTCTTATCATGCTTCCTCTGTCAAGAAAAGTGTTCTTATTTCTCTCTCTGTGCTCTCCACATTTGTGACCCTCAGTTCCTTGAACTGGAAATTTTCACTTTTCGTAATTCATTCTCTCATCTTCGCTACCCTTCCCATTTCATAAACTCTGCCTTCTCACGTGGTAATGGACCTTCTTCTCTCCCAAACTCTCTACTCCTGGGAAATCTCCTGTTCTCTGCCTTCCCTATATTTCCTTAGACATCAAACTTACTTTTTGCCAGACTAACACTGATTGCAACAATCTAGTTTGTACTTCCCCTCCCCTCTCACTAGGCCTCCAGCCTGGTGTTGGGCTACCCCTAACACACTGCCTGTACCATATACCCAATAAACCTTAGGCTTGCCTCCAAATGCGAATACCAATGCATATGCCAAAAGTCTATTATTATTATTTATGCATCAAGCTCTTGCACTCAACATGATGCAACATTATTAATGTTTGATACTAATGATTCACATGAAAAGCTTGATACAAGTGCACGGGAACACAAATGAGGACAGTAAAAGACCTTTGCCTATGGGCTGCAGATGGCAGAACTTGCAATCCTACAATACCACTCCTTGTTTCTTGACCTATTGTAACACAGTCCAGGAGGGATGCTCAAAGTGAAATTACAAATTCAGTGGTCGGAGATATACACCACTTTGTGATCTTAATTAAAAAGAGAGATAATATCAACACTTTGTGATCTTAATTAAAAAGGAGATAATATCTTTACCTTTGTAGGAAGAGATGGTGCAGTTGCTCCTCGTGCATTTTTGCTAGGAGAGCCAACATGTCTGTTTGAAGTTGCCGAATGTTTCCAGGTTACATTATCTGTTGTAGCCTGGACAAATATTCACAGAATAAGATAAAATTAATAACTAATTAAATTCTTTAACCAGATATACAAATACAATATACATGTACATACAAGTAAAAAAATTATTTTTAATTAGTAATTTATTTATTTTATGAATAGAAAAAATGTCACAATACCATAGCTGGTACCTGACTGGTAAATTCAACAAGCTATTAATTAAGATATATACAAAGTCAATTTTCTTACCTCTTCTGTGTCAACTAGATCTCGCCTTTTATTTTTCTTTGATTGCAAAGCAACAGCCATTAAATCCAATTCAATAAGGTCCCTGGTCTTCACCTTTTTCTTCTGAACTGCAGCACAACTGGTTTCTGAGGTACCGTCATTTATCCCTTCTTCAGAAGATAGTTTTATAACCACAACCTTTTTAGAGGGTGCTAAAAGTGCACCACTGTAGCTAGGAACTTCTGGTGATGAAGCACAATCACTCTCTTCACTGCTTTCCTCTTCCAACACCTCAGTGGACTGTGCAGACCACATACATGAATCTAATTTCAAACAAGCACCCTTGGATTTAGTTAAGGCATTTGTACGCTTTTTGATTGCCACTGAAGCTTTCTTCTTTGTACTTTCACAAGATAATGTTCTAGGAGTAATGACACTTTGGTGAGAGAGACTAGGATATTCTTCACTGGATAATAGCAAGCCTGGAAGACGAGAAACTGATGATTTGGCCGAGCGCTTATTACTGGCATTACCAGCAAGAGTAGATTCCAGGAAATCTTTTGTTATAACTCTTACTTTTGAATCCGATTTCATTAAATCCTGAGCCTTTTTAAGTTTCTGTTCCTTTCTCCTCATTTTTTCTTCCTTTCGCTTTTTCCTTAATTCTAAAATTGTTTGCCTAGTGTGCTCACTTTGTAAAGTAGAATCTTTTGTACTTTCTGCTGCAACTGATATTTCATTATTGCTACCATGCCCTGAAACTGATGAACATTTGCCCTGAACATCCTTTTGCACCTCTTCACATTCAGTCTGGCTCACCTTTCTGCTAAACATTTGCAGAGGAGCTTGTCTAGCTGCATCATCAGAATATTTAAGAATTTCTTTCTTTTCTTTATTTTCTCTTCGTCTATGAAATTTATCTGTACTAAACTTTTTTATCTGCAATGCATCCTTTTCATTTTCACTTTTGTCCTTTCCAAATCCTTCTAATTCCCTCTTTCTAACACTGAATCCCAAATTATTTAGTTGCTTAGAATTTCTGTCTCTTTTACTGTCAGCCTTTAAGATTTTTTTCTTTGTGGGCACTGTAGCCCTATCTGCTCGATCACCAGAGTCTTTACTTTTTGTTTGTTTCTTTCTTTCACCCTTTACCTGCCACTGAAAAGGATCAGTTCCTTCAACTTCTGGATTAGGGACATTACCTGTATTTTTATCCTCAGGATTTGCAGAGCTATCCAGGGTAGCCTTTCTTTTTGTGTTAGGTTCTGTTTCTTCGTGTGAAGCTTTTATATTACTAGAAGACAAATTCTGCTCATCCTTGTACTTAATATTAGGCAAATTTTGTTTGTGATCAACAACTTTTGTATTATTGAATTGATCCTTACTCTGCATCTGTTGGCTGCTTGTATCAGAATTTATGTCTATTTCCACCTTCCCCCAATTATCCCATTCCAAAACTTTTTCTTTAATTTCTTTCTCATTAACAACACGAGAGGTAAGTCTCTCCTCATCAGGTTTATGTAGCACTATGACATTCCATGCATTTTTATTTTGAGAATTTTTATCTGAAATGCCATTCATTTTCAATGCCCCACCATTATTTTCTTTTGGGAAATTACCTGAATGAAAATCACTCTTTATCTGGGACGTGGCTTGGGAACGAGTACTACCAAGTGTGGGCCACTGGTCTTCCCGAAACAAGCCCACTTCTGACGGGGTTTGTGATTCTGACTTGCATAATCCACTTACACTACTGTTGCCCTGTAGTACTTTTCCATAGCTGACATTAGCACTGTGCTTAAATGTGGGCAGTACATGAGGACGATGCTTCTCAACTTGCACCGTCAAACGTGTATTGTTCCCCGTTTTACATTCACTACTAGGAGTTACTGGTGATCCACCTCTTCCTTTCTGTACATCATGCTTTTGCTGATAACTATTTTCAGGACGTGCATTTCCTTGAAAAAATCTCATATTAGTTTTTTTATTCCTGTACGTGTTTTGTGTGATTTTATCTGGTGAACTATTGTTAGACCTCCAGTTTTGCTGCCACTTGTCAGCTCCATGGCTGGTATAGCCACCGCTATTTCCCGATTTTATCACCTCTCCACTATTATTACCTTTTTTCTTATATCCATGTCTGTTTAAATTAGGCCTTTCATATACTTCATTTCTTCCCTTAGATGGTGCATTTGTGGATGCAAGCCTCCAACTAAGGGGTTCATCACTTGAACGAGACTGCCCTCTGGAACATTTTGGCAAGCTGCGTGAATAATTTGGCCTTTGCCGGAGTTGTGCCAAATCACGTGCTTGGACACAAGTTTTGCCTTTTAAGCTCTCTCCACCAGCATCTGCATTTGTAGTTTGGATTCCTCTGGGAATAAATTCAGGAACATCCGGAGACAGCATTGTCTGTTGAGGAATATAAATGATTAGTCATACAGGTATTAAAGTCTCTACAGTGATGGTTTTCATTCATCTACAAAGTTGGTATTCCTTACCATTTTTGCAATTTGCCCAGTTTTCCAATTATTAAGATGTGATTTTCTGTTTCTTTTCAATTAACCCAGTACCATACAGTACTATAGCATTATAGAGTAATAAAATATTTAACTTAATAATAGAACTTTTATAATACAGGTACCATCCGACTTACGACCGAGCTTGGTTCCGACCAACCGGTCATAAGTCGAAATGGATGTAAGTCGAATCTTACTACTGAATATCAACATCACATTTTTGTAATGACTTTATTTTATTGTTTTATTTTGGTATTTCATTTTTTACTTTACTTTTCATGCTGTTAGTACTGTATTTTATACTGTAAGGTTTAGGATAAACACTGTGTACAACACAAACAGTTGCTTATTTCTCAGAAATTTGGCATAAAAAACACGGTCGTAAGTAAAGTGGTCGTAAGTCGAGCAGGTCGTAAGTCGGATGGTAGGTGTATACTGTTTCAATACAACCTCTGACACACCACAATATATGAGTAATAATCACAAGTCCATTAAATCAGAAATAAAAATTATATCTGTTTTCTACCTGAGGACAGAATCACCCATGACCTGGCTCTGACCGGGTCTCTCGATTAATAGCCTGGTAATTCAGGTGGGTGGTGCTCACAACATACAGATCAATATTGACACCCCAGTCTGGCTAATAAAGAATTTTATGGAAGGACTTATCATGTTGCCTTTTGAATACAGTTAAATATCTGTTGGTAAGTCCTCTTATAACCTAAGGCAAGATTTTGAAAATTCTTGGACCCTTTATACTAATAATATTGGGCAATCTCTCTGTGTGCCTATCACATCTCCACTTAAGAGCCAGGGAATTTTGCAACATCTGCTATGCTATGATTTTAAGTATTCTCATTAATGTAAATTTGACTGAACTGATACAGGCACTGAAATTTCTCTGAGCATTCTCATGATCTTCAACTTTACCCATTAGAGATTGATGCTCTAACCTAGGGAGCTGCATTCTGTGGACCAAAAGGTGTAGAGACCTGGGACTAGGAGAGGATAGTACAGTCAGAGAAAACTGTCAGTAATGAGTACAACCAGTTGAGGATGAAGATGAAAGAGAATGAGTGGAGGGTCTGGAACATCATGAAAAACTCACCTGCAAGGACAGAGATGGATGGATCCAGTAACCAGGTTTGATAGAGGGAAAGTTTAGGAAGAAAGCAGCAGAAGTGGTGGAGGGTGGAGAGAAGATTGGAGAACAGTCATTGTAAATTGAGAAAGAGGAATCATAAGTATTGAAAAATGGATGTCTTTGTCTGGGCATAGGCAAGGTCCAGGTGCAAGCAACCCTCCAAATCCATCCAAGGGGGTATGGGGAAGTGATGGGGCAAAGGGAGGTGAAATAGTAGGGAGAGAAAGGAGAGTGAAGAGGCAACAGGCCTGAAAAAGAAAACCAAGGTGTGTCAGGCAGGGGATGGGGAAAGATAAGGAACCCCTGAAAAAGGGAGAAAGAGGTGACCCTGAGCAGCAATGAGAGATGGTGAAGCTGAAGAGAGTCCTATACTTGCCATGTCAGTGATAGGGAAATTACCCCATTTCAGCCTGCAATGCTTCAACTGAAGTGCAAGAAAATGCTTCCAGAGCCACTAGGAGGGCTATATTCTACAGGACCTCTAGAAAGCATATGGAGTGATAAGAGCTATATACCTCACTTGTAAAAATGGAGGAGGAGGAAGAGATCAAACTCTGTGCCCCTAAGTAGAGCCAGGTGCTGGATGGTGCCTCTGGAAGAATGGATAATACCAAAGATGCCCTGGAAGGTAGCAGAGGGAGAGGGGTAAATTCTGACTAGATGAAGTCAGCAACAACCTCTGCTTTACCCAGAGCCAAAAGTGTCACTTGACCCATCCCTTGAGGAGGAAAGGACTGTATCGCACCACAGTCAAGCATGGAGTGGAAAAAATTCCAGGCTCAGCTGGTAGATAAGAATGACAGGAAGGAACAATAGGAGACCAAGGAAGAGCATCACACCTGCAAGAGTGTCTGGTGACATACTACATCTACTGCATGGTACTGGAGTTGAAGAGACCAGGAAAGGGAGAATTGCCAGCAGGGCTAGAGGTGCCTGTGTGTACCCAATGTCTCTTGACAAGCATCTGACGACCAGGACACACAGGAGAAGGGAAAGAGAAGCAATACATTTATATGTGGCTGACCTACTAAATAAAGAAACCCTGGGTTGTTAGACCAAAGGTGTACTGTATACTGCATTTATTTACTGTTAAGTAAGTAAATAAGTTATTATTTAGAGCTCATACATACAGTAATTTTAAACTTTTAAATTTGCTTAATGTGGTACATGTAGAAATTAACCTAAGATAACCCTGTAGTCAAGCTAAGTAACTTATCTTTTAGGGTCTTGGAAAGTAAGTTTATTTAGGCACAGATATACATAAGTACAGTTACACAAATTTAGGTGACTACAATTATCATACACAGCAACATGTGTAAATTAAATAGGATAACCCAAAAATTAAGGTGACTTATTTCCAGTGGGGTCCTTGTAATATCTTATTATTTAAAGCCTAGCTGTAAGATACAATAGAAATCAAATCAGGATTATAATCTGAAAAATTTAAACAGCTAAGTATGTAACTCAACTATGTGAAAATCAGTTACAGTATAACGAGGCACAATAAGAATAGTGAACCAAGAGAGGATCGGCCTACAATAATAGGTACACAAATGTTAATTATACAATAAATCACTCTCCTCCCTTTCTGTAGCTTCATTCATTAGATACCTTTTAGCCCTCTTCCTAAGCTGGCTCATACTAAGACAGGCTTTGACATGCTCAGATAACCCATTCCACTCCTTTATTGCTGTATAATAAAAGGTATTTGAGGCCTGACCACCTACTGTAGGTGGTCACTTTCCCTAGTACCATATTGGCTTTGGTTGCAAACCTTAAACTTCACAGCAAGATATTCTGGACATTGCTTGTGATTAATTATACAAACATGATTTAACTTCAGTTGTTTTACTCTGTCTTCAACATTCAGCATATCCAGTTGTAATTCATCCTGGCCTACATGCTCTCTTAGACCCAGGCCGAGGATGAATCTCACCATTTTGTTCAGGGTGATTTGTAGATTTTTTTTTTCTCTTTTTTTCTTTTTTTTCTTTTTGTTAAAGAGTACCATAAAGAACATGAATAATCTACATGACATTCTATAAAAGCTAGACATAGGGTCCTGTCTGCCTCAGTAGGCAGACACTGTGCCTGTTTATAGAGAAACTTTAGCCTGGCATTCACTTTTGTACTACACTATTCACTATCAATTCTCCTGACATGCTTGGGTCAAAGGAAACTTCAAGATATTTCAATAAAATTACTGAAGTGATGGGTTCCCCATTACACTGGATATTAAAATGAATTACCCTTTTCGGCTAATTTTTCATGCCGAAGAGTATGGCATCTGTTTTCTTGAGGTATGATAGTTTGCTGTCTACTAACCATTTACTGTAAGACTCTAGTTCCAGTGATATTATGTTAGCTATATCCTGCGGGTCTTTACCTGAGACTAGCAGAGCACTGTCATTTGCATAGAACAGAAGCTTAGCACTTAACACTGATGGGCATGTCATTTAAATAATGTAAAAATAGTCAGGGACCCAGAATACTACCTCGAGGAACCTAACAGGAAGTATTCTGGGTCCTTTACTATTCATATGCTTTTAACGACATGCTCATCAGTGTCAAGTGTATGCAATGGTTGTATGCAGATGACATAGACACATAAGATATAGCTAATGTCTAGCCCAAATAAATTCAGAGCAACAAATATATACTGATATGTTGGCTTCATTTTCAAAGTGACTGTACTCAGGTTAAGGTTTCATAATTAGATAAAAATTCTTTATTCAGGTAATGTTGAGAATATCTATTGTTTTATTTGGTTTGTTTCGTGGGAAAAAGTGTTATTACTTTCATGGCTACGGTGGCACAATCATAACACGAATTCTGTATTTAAGCACTAAAAGCTTCATTAACTTTTATAACATGAGATGTTATCTTGCTGCAACACATACACATCATCTTGCTGCATCACACACACATCATCTTGCTGCATGACACACACGTCATCTTGCTGCATCACACACTTATCATCTTGTTGCATCACACACGTCATCTTGTTGCATCACACACACGTCATCTTGTTGCATCACACACACACGTCATCTTGTTGCATCACACACATGTCATCTTGCTGCATCACACACACGTCATCTTGCAGCATCACATACACGTCATCTTGCTGCATCACGTACACGTCATCTTGCTGCATAACATACACGTCATCTTGCTGCTTCACATACATGTCATCTTGCTGCATCACATACACGTCATCCTGCTGCATCACATACACGTCATCTTGCTGCATCACATACACGTCATCTTGCTGCATCACATACACATCACCTTGCTGCATCACATACACATCATCTTGCTGCATCACATACATGTCATCTTGCTGCATCACATACATGTCATCTTGCTGCATCACATACACGTCATCTTGCTGCATCACATACATCAAGACTGGACCTGTGTTCACCCTGAGCACATCACATATGAAAGGCCCCTTGGAGCTAGTGACCACATGGTTCTGAGCATTGAATACATCGTGGAGCTAAAAGTGGAGAGGGTAACAGGAATAGAAAGGGAAAAGACAAACTATAAAAGGGGGACTACACAAGAATGAGAACCTAACTGCAGGAGGTTCAGTGGGAACAGGAGTTGGTAGGAAAATCAGTAAACGAAATGATGAACTTCGTAACAACAAAATGCAAGGAGGCAGAGGAAAGGTTTGTTCCCAAAGGTAACAGAAATAATGGGAAGGACAGAATGAGCCCTTGGTTTATCCGAAGGTGCAGGGGGGCAAAAACTAAGTGCACTAGAGAATGGAAAAAGTACAGAAGGCAAAGGACTCAGGAAAATAAAGAGATTAGTCGACGAGCCAGAAACAAGTGTGCACAGATAAGGAGGGAGGTCCAGCGGTAGTATGAAAACGACATAGCATTGAAAGTCAAGTCTGACCCAAAACTGCTTTACAGCCACATCAGGAGGAAGATAACAGTCAAGGACCACATAATCAGGCTGAGGAAAGAAGGTGGGAAGCTCACAAGAAATGACCAAGAAGTATGTGAGGAGCTCAACATGAGATTTCAGGAAGTATTTACAGTGGAGACTGAAAGGACATTGGGAAGACAAAACAGTGGGGTACACTAACAAGGGACATACCAACAAGTGTTGGATGAATTACACACAACTGAGGAGGAGGTGGAGAAGCTCCTAAGTGACCTTGATACCTCAAAGGCAGTGGGACCAGACATCTCTCCGTGGGTCCTTAGATAGGGAGCAGAGACACTATGTGTGCCACTAACCAAAATCTTCAACACTTCCCTTGAAACTGGGTAACTACTTGAAGTATGGAAGAAGGCAAATGTAGCCCCCATCTTTAAGAAAGGAGACAGAAATGAAGCACTAAACTATAGACCAGTGTCACTGATGTGTATAGTATGCAAAGTCATGGAGAAGATTATCAGGAGGAGAGTGGTGGAGCACCTGGAACAGAACAAGATTATAAACGACAGCCAGTACAGATTCATGGAAGGCAAATCCTGTGTCACAAACCAACTAGTTTTATGACAAGGTAACTGAAGTAAGAAATGAGAGGGAGGGGTGGGTTGATTGCATTTTCTTGGACTGTAAGAAGGCCTTCGACACAGTTCTTCACAAGAGATTAGTACAGAAGCTAGAGGATCAGGCACATATAACAGGAAGGGCACTGCAATGGATCAGAGAATACCTAACAGGGAGGCAACAGCGAGTCATGGTCCATGATGAGGTATCACAGTGGGCGCCTGTGACGAACGGGGTCCCACAGGGGTCAGTCCTGGGACCAGTGCTATTCTTGGTATATGTGAATGACATGTGGAAGGGATAGACTCAGAAGTGTCCCTGTTTGCAGATGATGTGAAGTTAATGAGGAGAATTAAATCAGATGCGGATCAGACAGGTCTACAAAGAGACCTGGACAGACTGGATGTGTGGTCCAGTAACTGGCTCCTGGAATTTAACCCCGCCAAATGCAAAGTCATGAAGATCGGAGAAGGGCAAAGAAGACTGCAGACAGAGTATAGGCTAGGAGGCCAAAGACTGCAAACCTCACTCAAGGAGAAAGATCTAGGAGTGAGTATAATACCAAGTACATCGCCAGAAGCACACATTAACTAGATAACTGCTGTGGCATATGGGTGCCTGGCAAACCTGAGAATAGCATTCCGGTACCTCAGTAAGGAATCGTTTAAGACTTTATACACTGTTCAGCACCAGTGTGGAACCCACACCTGGTCAAACATGTCAAGACATTAAAGAAAGTATAAAGGTTTGCAACAAGGCTAGTTCTGTAGCTCAGGGGAATGTCCTATGAAGAAAGGTTAAGGGAAATCAGTCTGACGACACTGGAGGACAGGAGGGTTAAGGGAGACATGATAACGACATACAAAATATTGCGTGGAATAGACAAGGTGGACAGAGACAGGATGTTCCAGAGAGGGGACACAGGGACAAGGGGTCACAACTGGAAGCTGAAGACTCAGATGAGTCACAGGGATGTTAGGAAGTATTTCTTCAGCCACAGAGTTGTCAGGAAGTGGAATAGTCTGGCAAGCGATGTAGTGGAGGCAGGAACAATACATAGTTTTAAGACGAGGTTTGATAAAGCTCAGGGAGCAGGGAGAGAGGACCTAGTAGCAACCAGTGAAGAGGCGGGGCCAGGAGCTGAGTCTCGACCCCTGCAACCAGAATTAGGTGAATTAGGTGAGTACATCATCTTCCTGCATTACACACGTCATCTTCCTGTATCACACACATATGTTCCTGCATCAGAGCAACATGTCATCTTGCTGCATCATGCAACAACAGCTTAAAAACATTACTGAAGTGCTGACCCAGGTGTCGTCGTCGTCTCCAAGACGTGGTGACTACCAGAGAACGACACGACGGCCATCACAAGTTCCACCTTCAACCCACAGTAACCTTATTCTACCTCCTTAACAACAGTCTTCGTATTAACTATAAGGTAGTGAGGAGCTTCACTCTTCCCTGAAGCTTACGTCTCAGCACTACTGCTGCTGCTGCTGCTGCTGCTGCTGCTCGTCATCAAAACACTGATGACGTCATGAATCCAGCCTGGGCTTCACGAACGATATACCTTTAAGTATTTTTAATAATAATAATAATGAGGCATATACAGTATGTGAGGTGTACATGAGATACATGTCTAGTACATACTGTTACGTATTCGTCACTGGAGACCTGGAGTTTACCTGGAGAGAGTTCCGGGGGTCAACGCCCCCGCGGCCCGGTCTGTGACCAGGCCTCCTGGTGGATCAGCGCCTGATCAACCAGGCTGTTGCTGCTGGCTGCACGCAAACCAACGTACGAGCCACAGCCCGGCTGATCAGGAACTGACTTTAGGTGCTTGTCCAGTGCCAGCTTGAAGACTGCCAGGGGTCTGTTGGTAATCCCCCTTATGTGTGCTGGGAGGCAGTTGAACAGTCTCGGGCCCCTGACACTTATTGTATGGTCTCTTAACGTGCTAGTGACACCCCTGCTTTTCATTGGGGGGATGGTGCATCGTCTGCCAAGTCTTTTGCTTTCGTAGTGAGTGATTTTCGTGTGCAAGTTCGGTACTAGTCCCTCTAGGATTTTCCAGGTGTATATAATCATGTATCTCTCCCTCCTGCGTTCCAGGGAATACAGGTTTAGAAACCTCAAGCGCTCCCAGTAATTGAGGTGTTTTATCTCCGTTATGCGCGCCGTGAAAGTTCTCTGTACATTTTCTAGGTCGGCAATTTCACCTGCCTTGAAAGGTGCTGTTAGAGTGCAGCAATATTCCAGCCTAGATAGAACAAGTGACCTGAAGAGTTCATCATGGGCTTGGCCACTGATTATAATTATAGTGGGTTATAATTATAGTTAGGATCCTCTCCAAGATACGATACTACGTGCCGCAAATTGCCCTTCTCACACTATACCACTCACTTATTTATCCATACCTCACCTATGCTATTTGTGCTTGGGGATCTACTGCAGCAACACACCTAAAGCCAATAATAACCCAACAAAAAGCTGCAGTAAGAATAATCACTAAATCCCATCCCTGGCAACACCCCCCCCCACTCTTCATAGATCTAAACTTACTCCCTGTTCAGTACATCCACACTTACTACTGTGCAATCTACATCTACAGGACCTTAAACTCCAATATCAACCTTGACCTAAAACGCTTTCTTGATAGTTGTGACAGAACCCACAGGCATAACACCAGACACAAACATCTCTACGACATTCCCCGTGTCCGACTAAACCTTTACAAAAATTCAATGTATGTCAAAGGCCCTAAAATCTGGAACACCCTACCTGAGAACTCTAGAACTGCAGACACATTCATCACCTTCAAAACTACCAATAGAAAACATCTTATCTCCCTGATAAACCCCATCAACTAACTACACGAATACCACCTGGTGGTTCACACTTACACTCACTCACCCATTTGACCATAAACAGAAATATTAATCTCAGTCTTAAAATAATGAATCCTATGATACTCCAATACTGAAACTATGTACTGTGCCAAAACAAAAGCATTCACATTGCTAAACTCACAAACTAGTATTTAGTCACGTAGCCATAATACCAACTTACCTCATAATTTGTAATATTTTAAAATAAAGAATTAAACTAAGTCTGCTCGAAATGCCTAGCCATGCTAGGCGTTCTAGTGGTACACTCTGTAATCATTATTTAACTACATGTAAACCACACAACAACCAAATTCTGTAAATTCAACATTGTAATCTTTATAGAGAATAAACTTTGAATTGAATTGTAAATACAAAATCTCAATGTACTATTAGCAAAGGCATAAAATAAATAAATAAATAAATAAATAAATAAAAGCTTCTCAGAGCTGGGGTGCGTGCCCAAGATACAGCAGGCATTACCTCTCTGAACACCAGCGCTGAGTCGCTGGAACAGACAACTAGCTGTTCTGGGATCCCTAGTTACCCTGATAAATCCTTTGCCTAGCTCCTTAGGGAACTTAGTTGCACCCTTTTCCCATGAGCCAAGGGTCTCTGAGCCTATGGGAACAAACATATAATAATGGGCAAGTTCTCCGTATTTTCTAGACTTTTGGGACTCCCTGAAGCTGGCAGCTGTTCCTCCTTGCCTGATGTATTGGAGATAGGTATCAGCCGAGGTAGTAGTCCCACACCACCTGCTTGAAGGGTGATACCGTCTGGACACTTTAGGCTGTTGTGGAAAATTTTATAGGGGTGATTATTTGTACATACCTCAACATTACATACATACAAGTAATCTCATTGGGAGACAACCCTATATTGTTTACCGTAGTCACCCCGTGTAGATATGTGAGAAAACTTCACCACCTCTGGTCGCTGGAAGTGGGCCTTCGACCTCACAATCTTATCCATATCTATCCGAGACCAGTATAGATTGGATAGCACCCACAATTATGGTGCTACTAATTAATTGTGGACTGTATAGATTATATTAGTGTAACTGAATGAAGGGGGGGGGGTAGGTTACACATGGATATATCCATCAAGGAAAAACACTTGTACATAATCCCACCACTTACCAGATATTCTCTGGTGGTCACTTGATGTGGCTGGATCACCCATAACCTATCCAATTAAAACATACCTAATTGGCCAGTATCAGTCTGCTATAACTAGAAGGGTTACTTAACTGTGGGTGATTGATACTCCTTATTTCCTCCATTCACCATCTCATTTCGATGTCCCGCTACCCCGACATGGTTCTTATTCCAGCAGGACGAGGTATCCGTTGGTTTGTCCCGATTTAGAAGTCGTGACTCAATGAACTTCACTTTCCTCGTGACGGGAACAACGTGGTCTAGCAGTGTTCACTCGGAGCAAGGCGACTTATTTCACTTCACGCATTCTCTTAACTTAGCGTTATTATCATTAATCACATTACAATTCACATGACGATTTAATGTCTCATCATTATTATACACATTAGAGATCACTCCATTAAGATCTGAGACCGATGAGTGATGATTAAACCAAGGGTAATTTTCCCCGGGACACAGTCCATGGTGACGCACCAGTCACCCGGTCTTACCCTTATTCATTCATTTTACCACTCTATTACGGTGGTCCCGTAAATCACGTTCCCTTACTCTCCACTAGGAACAGTTACGACACTTCCTATTATGAAATGAGGCCTATATTAATCATTAGGCCGCCGTGAACGCCAATTTCCTGGTTCCATGCTTTCCCAGCCTCCTCACTACATTCAAAACACTCCTGCCTCTCCCATGCCCCAAGTCGACCTCTACCCCCGCACATCCGCGCTTGCGCAAAGGGAACACTTGGTTCTATCCTATTGTCAAATACATTTTTGACTCATATCGACACATTAAACACCTATTAGGCACTATAGCTTCGGAAAATTAAAATATTTTCCACAGCTGTCATCAGATCTGAATAGTTGGGGTGGCTCTTTTATTGCTGGGCATCCGGCTGTTCTGAGGCTCCTCTTGATAATGTTATTAACATTTTTATGTCTTGCAATCTTTCCCTCAGATTTATGACACACAAGACTATGGTACCCGAATCGGTCTGCTGCTTCACTGCCACAAATACACCTGTGTTCGGCGAGAATAGGGGCGGCAAGTCGAAGGGCAACACGAATGCAGATGGTCTGTGGGTCGAGGAGTGTACCAAGGCTGGAGCTAGGAGCAGCCAGCAGAAAGTCCCCCGCATGAGGAGTTCTCACTGCCAGGAGGGGGGCTCTATCCTTCCCCGACACACTCTGAATCATTGTTGAGGCTATATTGGGTAATCCCCGTGTGACTGTTCGTAGTTGTTGGGGGTTGCAGGTCTAGTTTCAGAGCCCGTTAGATTAACCCAGATCATGGCTCTGACAATAAATGAGTATATATAGTGGCGAGAGTCAGGTGGTAAGTTGTGAGTAGTAGTGGTAGTAGTAGTAGTAGTAGTAGTACTAATAGTAGTAGTAGTAGTAGTGGTAATAGCACTAGAGGCCCCCAATGGAAATAAGTCACTGTTTGACTTTTTGGGGGTTCTCCTAGGTTCTCTACACATATGCTGCTATGGATGATAATCTTTGTAACTTTCTGTGTATTCCTGAATAAACTTACAGCAGTAGTAGTACTAGTAAATGAAAATGAAAATGTTTATTTCCTTGCAAAGCTTACATTGTGTGGTTTACATATTATAAGATATTAATTACAAAGAAAGTAGTAGTAATGGTGGTGGTTGTAGTGATGGTAGTGGTGGTAGTAGTAGTAGTAGTAGTAGTAGTAGTAGATAGTGGTGGTGGTAGTAGTAATAGTAGTAACAGTAGCAGAAGTAGTAGTAGTAGTAGTAGTAGCAACAGTAGTAGTAGCAGTAGTAGTAGTAATAACAGTAGTAGTAGTAACAATAGCAACAGCAACAGCAGCCGCAGCAGCAGCAACAACAGCAGCAGCATTAGCAGTAAAAGTAATAATAGCAGTAGCAGTAGTAATCGTGGTAAGACAAGCTGATGGAGTTCAAAATCACTCCCATTTTTAAGTAAAATAGAAAATGAGGGCATTAGTAACCATAACCCTTTGCTCTTCATGGTACTCCTTAACAAAAAAAAATGAAAGACTATAAATCAGCCAGAATAAAATACATTACAACTGGATATGTTGAATGTTGAAGGCAGAGTAAAACAACTGAAGTTAAATGACGTTTATAAAATTCCTCATAAGCAGAGACCAGAATATATTGCTGTTAGGTTTGTCAAGGTTAGGAAACCAAAACAAGCATAATACTAGGGGAGGGGAACACTACTTTGTAGTACCCAAAGTAAATGGTCAGACTTCAAATATCTTTTATTGTACAGCAATTAAGTATGAACCAGTTCAGAAAGAGAGCTAAAAGGTACCTAATGAATAAAGCTACAGGAAGGGAGGAAAGTGATTTCCTGTAAAGCTAACATACATGTAGCTATTACTGTAACATTCATATACTTATTACTGTGATCTGATCCTCTCTTTTTTGTTATTGTAAATAATTCAGTTTACCTTATTCCTTGTA